AAGGGGGGGGGGGGGGGGCGGGGGAGGTTCGGAAGTGCGAGAACAGATCCACCCTCTCCCTGCCAGATGGATCGTTGGACTCAGGAGGTGACCCAGAGCCTCTGTCTCTGGAGGCAGGTCAGAGGCAGGCTGTGAAGAAGGCATGTGTCCTTGGAACCCCTAGTCCTACCTGTAGTACCCCCGGCCACTTCCCTTCCACCTCTAGCTCTTATCGAATATGGCCCCTGGTGAGACTTTGGCGACTGAATCGGTGTCAGGAGACTTGTGGTGGAATCTTGGTTATATCACTTGCCTGTGGGACCACACGCACGTTACTGAACTTTTCTGTGTCTTTACGTGTAAAATGGCTTTGATTTGCCTACATCTTGAAGCAGTCCTGAGGGTTAAACAAAATCTGTGATGTGGGAAAGCTACTGCAAAAGACTTGGCGTTTGACTAAGTGTTTGTTGAACTCAAGGAAAGATCGTACAATTCATTTAAATTAGAGTGGAGGTAGCTGGAGTAGTTCAAGGTGGGTCTGCATTCAGGGAGCGTAGTTTATGAGCGTCAGAATTATAGTTGAAAGGATAAAGTTCTAATGGTAAAATGTTAGGTGTCAGTGACAGGATGAGGTGGAGGAGAGATCAGGAGAAATATTGCAGGGACAGATTTTCTCTGGGGGGTTGGTGTTGGGTTGGAGGCTGGCCAGCCTCATTCCTTTTGTCTGGTTCTCTCCCATTTCTTTCTTGGAGTTGCTCACTTAATACTGTTATTACCAATGATGACAACTACTGTTTGTTGAGCACACACTATGTGCTCATACTATGTTAAGTGCTCTCCATGTGTTAAATCATTCAGATCTCACCTTACTCTGTGGTACTCTTATCCACATTTTATAGATGACAAAAATGAGGTGCAAGGAGCACAAAGAGTTTGTCAAGGTCACATGCTGAAAAGTAACTGAGCCCAGACTACAGTCAGGTTTCTGTGTCTCTAAAGCCCATACTATGCACAACTCTGCCATCCTGTGTGACACTTCTGCATCAATGTCAGCATCAGCAAATATTTTCTGAGAGCTGTCTAGTTGTCACACACTGCTCTAGACAGAGACAAAATAGACAAAAAAATCCCCTGCCTCTGTGGAATGCACAGCATAGCTCAATGGGTTATATGTTGCAGTTCATTGATATATTGAAATGGTTAACTGAGCTACTGAACATAGCTCTGTGGGACGAGGACTGGGTTTCATGCAATGCTAGGCAGCTCACTTTGTACTATTGATCTCAGTTTCCTCATCTATGCAATGAGTGGACTGGGATAGCTGATCTCCAAATTTCATTTAGCCTTCATAAGACTGTAAACTTTAGGAGGGAAGGACTAAATGATTCCCTCATAAACTTCATGAGGAAATGACTAGATTACTCTCACGGTTCCTTGCACAAATATGCTGGCAGACTGATTTTTCATTTGTCTGGTGGACACTCTCCCATTGAGACCACTGGCATTGGGTTGAAGTGGCATGTGGAGAGTTCAGCCCACGCAGAATTTGGGTCAGAAGGTCACTTTGTTGGGTTTGGTTCTTCAGCCCTGGGGATCTTCGAGGCTTTGGTCTCTGAGGAACCCCAAAAATAAAGGACACTAAGAAGGTGGAATTAAAGTTGATTTATTAAGCTTCCGTGATAGAATAGGGGAGACTACTGTGGCTCCCTTCAGCAGGAAATGCTCAGGCTTTGGGATTCCAAATCAACCTTGCTTTGGGTTGGATGGAAAGAAGTTCTTAGCCAAGCCAGATACTATCTCTTGCAAGAAATCTCTTCCAACACTAGGTCATATGCCCCCTTTCTGTGTCCCTATAATAGCCTTAGCTTACCTTTTTTTTTAAAAAAAAAAAACCAACCCAAACCCAGTTTCCATAGTGTGTTTGCATCATGTGTTTGGTCCGTCTCCCTTGCTGGACCAAAAACTCCTTGAGGATAGGACTGAAACTGGTTAATCATTGAGCCTCCAGTACTTATCCCAGTGTCTGTCATACAGTGGTGCCCTATAAGTGTAGTTTAAATAAAGCTAAGGCAGAACATTCTGGCCAAGATGATTGTATCCAGTGGGGAGCAGGTAACCAGACTTTTGAGAGAAGAGGAAAAAGAAGAGAAAAAGAATGTAATTTAAGAGATGACTGGCATTTGTGGCCCTACGAGGATGTTATTTCATTGGAGGATGAGCTTGTCCTGGTGAATAGGCCATTCATCCCACCTTGGGGGCCCTTGGTGGCACCACTACTAGCTCCATCATTATCCTCATCACTTAGGAGTTGGCTATGAACAGGATATGTGGATGCCACACTTAATCCCCAGCCTTGCTCAGCATAGGATCAGACCTGGGAAACCCAGTAAAATTCAGAGGAATGTGCCAGGAAGGGGTGAGGGCAAGGTGACATTAATTGCTGCTCTCATTGTGCCTAATCCCCTAGTGAATCAAATATGAGACAATGGAAGTGCTTCAGCCAAACCCTTGGCTGGTGGAAATGGAATTAGCCTGGTTCGAGTCCAAATTACTTGTTTTTGCTGGAATGAGTTTCAGAAATGCCATCGAGTTCCAGAGATGCCACGGCTGTTGTGGTTACTCTGTGTTTGGACAGACTGTTGTAGGCAAGGCAATTTGTTTTTCTTTAAAATAAATTGTTTTCTGATTCCTGAGCCTAATTACTTACCTTGCTATCTCTGGCAGAACAGGCTGAGTGTCCCTCAGGAGGGCTCAGCATCTGTGGAAGTGCTGGGCCAGGTGTGGTCAGTGGGGCCTTGCTGCCACCACTGGAATGTGGCCTCACACTCCTACTTGGTGACATCGTGACACGGGAAGTGGCAATTAGCAAGACCAGGCTCTGACAGGTCTGGCTGAGGCTTACTCAGGGTGAGCTAAGAGAGACCCTAAGAGCCAGCCTTGGCGTGCTTACCTCACTCTCTTCTCATTTTTCTTTCTCTCAGATGCACACAGGAAATTGCCATCATGGACAAACCCCAAATGGAGTAGAGATGGAAGGCCGAGATCTGGAACAAACTGCTGTGGCTGGGGAGGAGGAAGTGAAGTCCTAGAGTACCCCAGCCTGGGCAGTATCACTGTGTTTGCTGCCCTCTTTCCAGGCTACTTTCCACATACCTTGTCCTCACTTGTCCCGCCAAATGGCAGCAGAAAAAATGAGGAGGCTTTGGTTTCATCAGCCACATAATCAGCTCTAGATCTAGAGTTGCTTTTTTTTTTGTGCCTAGTTTGACTTCGATACCTCTATTTTCATCTTCACTAATACCATTGCTACCATGTCTATGTTGCTTTTACTTTGAATACTACTCCAAATGCCGACACCCTATTGTTATCATCTGCTACAACAGCACCACCCCTACCGCTCATTCTCACCGCCTCCACCAGCTCCATCACCTTCATCACCTCCACCACTACCACCATTACCACCACGGTCACAAGGACTGCCACTGCCATTTCCACTCTTTCTCACCATTGCTATCGCCACCACCACCTCTACCACTTCCATCATCTTCACAACCTGCACCATCTCCACTGTCACCACCTCCATCATATCCACTGCCACCACTATTATCATATCCATTACCTTTAGCAACACCAACCCTGTCATAACCACCATTATCTCCACCACTACTAGCATCACCACAATATTACCACAAATATTATCATGCAACTTCCACTCATTGTTATCATTACCAACACCACCAACATTGCCTCCACCACCATCTCCACCATTACAACCGCCACCATCAGAGTCACCTCCACCACCACTACCATCACCACCTCCACCACCTTCACCTCAACCTCCACCACCAGCACCGCCACCTCCACCACCACATCCACAAACTAAATCACCTCAACCACTTTCACCATCACCACCACCACCACGACCACCACCACCTCCACCACCTCCACCACCTCCACCACCTCCATCACCTCCACCACCACCACCACCACCATGTCGACAACCTCCACCACCATGTCCACAACCTCCACCACCACATCCACAACCTAAATCACCTTCACCACCACCACCACCACCCCTTCCACCTCCACCACCTCCACCACCACCATCTCCACCTCCACCACCACCACAACCACCACCACCTCCACCTCCACCTCCACCACCACCACAACCTTCACCACCACCACCACCACCACCACCACCTCC